ATATAAATGATGTCAGATCCACTGTGTGAATAGAGTGAATGGATATACAGTATGTGCACTTAAATCAGTAGCAACACTATTTACCATAACTTTAATCCTATGTTACATGGAGTTTGATTGAAGTTTTACCCTGTGCTTCATTGAACTGCATTCATGCACGTAATAAAAACACAAATACAATACATCATCTGGTTGTTGTTATTTTAAATCCACCATCATGTTCACATGTTATCTCCTCTGATTTTTCACCAAAGAAATTGAAATAAGTAGAGAAGGCTTAATGATTACTGCAGCTGAGTATTTTTAATGTAATTAACAATTTTACAAAATGACAAATTTGTTTATAATCTGAGAGTAAAGAACATTCTTCATCATACAAAATTCAGAAAAGAAATAGCTCAGACTCACAACAGCTTATTTTCAGTGTTTGAAGTGAACAATCTTCCTCCACTCAGCTCCTGTTGGATCCTCAGATTATGGCGGATTTCATGAACTGACAAGAGAGAATAAAAGAGTGTTATAAAACAATGAACCGTTTACATGCAGCACTAGAAATAACTAACTCATTTCCTTTATAATGGGACAAAATATGTGTTGTTAATGCAATATCAAGGGCTGGCCAGCAGATGTCAGCATTTTAACAGCATCAAACGCCTCAAAGCGCTGGACATTTTCCAGAAGAACTGCTACAGAAAGCTGAGTTTCTCCTTCACTATTTCAACTATTGAGATATGATTAAACTCCTCACTTCCAACCCAAGAAACTAACTCGGATGATTCATTTTTTTCAATATTTAATATTTTAATGTTTTTTTCAACTACAGAGGTGGAAGACGTTCCTTAATTATTAAATGTATATAAACTGTTCATTTGGTATTTCTTTGCTGCTGCTGCACAGTTTATTCTCTGTATTTTGTCCTTTGTTCTGTGTTAAATCATCTTGGGTGAAGATTACTGAGTGAGTGAATTAAATGTTGTATTATACTTTATTAAATTTTCTACTGTATTATGTCACTTAATCATATTACATATTATTCTGCTGTATTCTGATGTTACACTAGATTGTATCATATTGCTCTTACATGTATTTTACATTAATAAGTACTAATCACATAACTATTAACCAAAGATTTAAACTCACCTGTTTGAAAGAGAAGCTGGCGACTTCGCAGTCACATGGCAATCGCAGCAGATGAGCCTGGAAACGATCTAAGACAGGAAGCAAATATTTAACACCTGCACTAACTGAATTCCTCAGATAACTTCTGTTCTGTGATTTGGCGCTATATAAATAAAACTAAATTGAAATTAAATTTTATAATCTGCATTTGCATCTGCAAATACTTAAGCCACTGAGTGTGTGGTAACTTATTAATGATTCAAGGTTATTTTTATTGTGATTTACAACACAGGGTTGTAGAATAAACGTTTGATATAGTTCCTTTTATGCTGCTATTAAAAACAAAAAATTATACGGCTGTTATTATTATATTGTTGATTTATTAGGGAGTTTATTGATACTAAAATGTATATTATTATAATGGAATTTATTATGGAATGAAATTAAATACATTTCTACCAAAAACAATAATAAACAGGGAGTCTCCTGTTTCATTAATATTATTACAATCAATCAATCTTTATTTATATAGCATCTTTTATGCAGTTTAGTACAGTTAAGAATTTTCACTTAAACATACCACAAAGAGTTTTATTAAAGAAAACCATCAGCTACTATTTCTATATTATTATTTTTAATGGCTGCCACCGGGTCGGATTCATTTGGATTACCCTCAAAATCAGGCAAAACAAGGCGGGGAAAACGCTACCTATTTTGTCGTCGGGGGCCGCCAGAATCAACACAAACTGACTTCCTTGTTGGTAATCAAGTAAAAGTAACAATACTACAGTGTATAAATACTCCACTACCAGAACAAGCTAATAAGCATCAAAATAGATTCAAAGTACCACAAGTAAAATTACTCATATTGCACAATGACCCATTTGAGAACACTATAAATTATATTATTGGATTATTGCAGATAGTAAAGGTGGAGCTAATTTTAATGTATTTTTATATATATTTATAAATATATATTACTTGTGAGTTTCTCCCACCCAATCACATATGATATTATCCTAATTTATTTGTTGTCCAATACATATATGTAGTGGCGTCAAATATATGATATGATCCTCTAAACTGTAGAAGAGTATAAAGTAGCCTACCTACCTTGTTTGTATTTTGTGTTGATTCAGGTGGCCCCTGTGGCTAAAAGCTGTAGTATTTTTATCGCCCCATTTCGTCGGATTTCAAGGTGAATCCAACCCAGTGGTGGGCATTAAGAATAAGTACATAGAAAATAAATGTGGTTTCCATTACCTCTGAGGATCTGAAGTTTTGTCAGGACCACCACAAACTCATCATAGTCGATCCCACCTTTAGAGCTGTATTCACGCCACAGACTTCTGAAGGTTTCCTCATCTAAATCGGGTACTGCACATAGAAACAATCACGTTTGAAAAGCAATCCGCAAATAAGATTAAATTAATTGACTTGCTTCTCAGTCAGTTAATATTTTCTTAAATCAGTATGTTGTTTATAACAGACACAATGTATTACCCCGGGCGGACAGAGTCTTCTTCATTTGGGTTTGAGTGACGGAGGGTGGATTCCTCCTCTCGTAGCTCTCCACATACTCCCTCCTGGCAATGGCCACATAGTGCTCCACATTGAAGACCTCCACCACGTTCAGGTCTCCAGTCTTGTCAGCCTGAAAGTGCTGGTTAAAGAAGATGAACCGAAAACACAAAGCTCCATAACTTTTTGCATAATGGTTCCTATTTGGGTCTTACCTTTTTTAACTTTTACATGCTCCGACATCGTCAAGAGACACAGCTTAAATTTCCATAGCTTTGAAGATGACACGCAGCTTTACATTACCGTGTCTACAGACGACTGAAATCTATCTAGAATTGAGTTTAAGATCCTTTTATTGGTTTGTGAAGCTTTTAATGATCTTAGTTCTACGTATTTATCATATTTGTTTTGAGCTTATGAACTCTCTAGAACCCTCAGGTCTTCTGGTAACGTTTTTTTAATTATCCCAGAACAAGGCATGCTTTTATTACTATGCCACACGTCTCTGGAACAGCCAGACCTAAATTTTTCATCTGGCATTTAATTGATTTTCATTCATTTATTTGTCTATCTATTTATGCATTTTTTTATCTGTTTTATTGTGTGTGTCACTTTGTGTTACATTTTGTTTTAAAAAATTGCTATACAAATAAAGTATGATTAAATGATTGTTAAAATCAATGATCAAATATAGCATCCAATGCATTCAGAACAAGTTTGGTATTACCCCTGTTGAGACATCCTTGATCCTGGGACAAGTAGTATGTGATGAATATGGATAGAAATACTGAGCAGAATAACAGAAACAGCAGTGAGCTGTAAAGGATACATCCATGAGAGTCAACAGTAGGCGGGCTGTCTTGAGACTCAGGGCTATATTGGGAAGAATAAATAAAATTACTGTAGACATTTCTAATTTAGATAATTACATAGTGCTAGTTGGTGGAAGATAAACTGACATTTGCCATGAACAGATAAGCCACCAGCATTCAACTTAGCAAGAAGACCTTCAGCATCCAGCATCTATTGTAAACAAGGACAAACAAAGTTAGATGAATAAAGATAGTTTCCCATTTTGCACAACATTCAATAACTTGATGACTCTAACTAATGAAAAACACTGAAATTACCATAGAATATTGGCAGGGATACAAAACGTATGTTTTTTTTATCAATAAATATAAAATATACATGTTATATCTTGGGCAGTTACAAAATATTTTAATAAAGAATTAACAGTAAAAGCACTTACGTCTGGCCTGCTGTCTTCCTGTGAAAGAAAAAGAAGTGAGAAATTATTCTTTCCATTACTATTACTAGTACTTTTTCATGAACATAGTATCCATTACTTACTGATATACACATTTCCTCTGGGAATGAGTCACACCGCAGCTCATTTGGCCAAGAAACGCCAAAACCGGTCATCAAACTCTCACAGCCCTTTTTGGCCCTCTCACAGAACGACCTGCAGGGCCGCTGCACTTCCCCTGCCACACACTTGGGAGCATACACCATACACACGAAGAGGCGAATGTCGATAGAGCACACAGCTTGCACGAGCGAGTTGAAAAAGGACATCTTCATTACTGCGTCTCTTTGACTCGTGTGTCCCAGGAGATTAGGCATGATCGTCTGGTTGTAGGACAGGCCCTGGCAGACCGGTATGGTGATTGGCTCACAGACCCCCCCGCTGCTGCCCACTCCATACTGGAACAAGACACAAGACCACACTGTCACTCCAAGTCTAATTTGGCCTTCGCATGACCTGTGGTAGAGTTTTCCTTTGACTGTGGTGACAACTTTGGCAAAATACCGTCATTGCAAAAAGGGTGGGCTCAAAAATAACACTTAGACAGATTCAAAGCAGTTGGCCTGTAGTAGACGAGTGTTTACAACAGTTTAGCAGTCATTTCAACCTTAATGATAAATGCATTATATTGGGCTTATACCCACAGTCTACTTCCTGTGAGCCAGACTGGCTTTTAATGTGGAAGTTTTAGTTTTATTAGTTCATGTAAGTAGGTTGACATTAGGGAGCATAAACGTTAGTTAGGAAAGTTGAAGGCTAACACAAAATATTTCAGTTCTCCCTTTCCATAATGTTGTCTAACAATTATAATAAGCTGGTAAGTGGCAAAAACAAGCACTTTTAATGGACCATACAGAACCATAAAAATCCATTTCAGGGAATTGTCACTCATTAGAGTAAAAACTCTAAAAAAGGTCATAAAAGTGCCAGTTTATTGTGAGTTTTTGGCAGTGATTAACTGATCTGTCACTTGTTTGTTTTACATTGTTGGAGCCAAAATAGTAAAACCATTGTCTTCAGCCTGGTCCGTGAAACATTTGGTCTTAATTTGTCCCATTTGCTGTTTCAGAAGCCATTCTGGTGTGCCCATTTTTCTTTAGCTATTTATGGTTTTTATTGCTTTGTGCAAGATGCTTTCAACAATTATTGAAAACTCTAGGGCTCTAGTGGCTTCTGAGACATAAACATACTTGTAAACATCTGTTCATCTCAATGTTGGAGTCAAAAAGAGCAGACTTACGTGTTCACAGGATTCCGTGGTAAATGCTTCACACCTGAGGGATTCTGGCCACCGGAAACTGAATCTATTCATAAGTGATTCACAGCCAGACCTTGAATGCTCACAGAGTGTTCTGCATGGAGGTCGAGGTTTTCCGGACACACACTCAGGAATGTAGACGGAGCACAAGAAAGGCTTCAGATGAGAGGAGCACCCCATTTCTACAAGTGGAAAAAACTGACGTACTTCAGTTCCTGCCTCCTCCTGAGTTCTATGGCCTAGAACGTTTGGCAGGATGGTCTCTGTGTAAAGGTCTCTGCAGAAAGGGATAGTGATTGTCTGACATGTTGGAAGCGATGTTTGAGTAAAACTGATGCCTTGAGCCTGAAAGAACAGAAACATAAATCAGTGAATTCTTATCTCTAAGTATTTTTGCTGCTGTTTTCGTCAACCACATATGCACCTTCCCCTTTTGCTTATAGAGACCAAGTGCCTTTTATTTAACAACTGCCATAGGTTTTGTCTGTGGCACACTTGCAAGTAATTTTTGTTTAGTGTAATGTCACACAAGGGCATGTGAGGAACCCAAGTACCCATAGGTGGTTGACCCAAGCACCCTTAATGTAAGTACCTCTATGGGTTGGGTAATGCTCAAGTTCATATGAAGTGTTGTCTGAACTTGTCAAAGCAACCTCGTGAGAGGCCAGATCATGCAAGAATCTATCTTGCCACACATCAATCTATGCGTTTGTGTGTGTGGTACAGTGGTTCTGGACCAGTCAGTATGTGGGAGTGCTGTCAGATACAACAGGTGTGTTTTAATGCTATGTGTGTGTGATGAAATGTCTGAGAAGTGACTCTCAACTATTTGCTCAAAAACAACAATGGTGGCTGCTAAAGAGGTTAGCATAGGTGCTGCTAGTATCAGTTAAATAAGAACTGGAGAATATTTATTCATTAAAAGAGGAGCAAAGAATGGAAATTAAGGTTTTTCTTGATGGAAAGGCTGTTTTTGCTCTTCTCTTGACTGTCAGAGTTTGACTACATTATATGGTTTGTTGATTTAATTGGTTGATGTTTGCCTGTGATAGATGGTGATAGAAAGATGGTTCCCATTTTCCAAACAGTTTCCAGCTATGACTTCCCAGATGGTTTTGCATAAGAAACCAACTGACGCAGTCAAGTTATCGCCAGAGGGAAAAAGTGCTGAAACTGTAGCCTGTAACTGTAACTTTTAAATTATTTCAATGTGCAAGACACTTTGCAACTTGTATTATTATTAAAAAACTCTGTACTTGTGGCTTAACACATCATGACACATAAACATCTGTTCATCTTCATGTTAAAGTCAAAAGGCCAGACTTACCTGTTCACAGGATTCAGTGGTAAATGCGTCACACCTGAGGGATTCTGGCCACATGAAACCGAACTTGTTCATAAGTGATTCACAGCCTGATCGTGCCTGCTCACAGAGCGTTCTGCATGGAGGTCGAGGTTTTCCGGATACACACTTCGGAGTGTAAACGGAGCACAAGAAAGACTTCAGATGAGGGGAACACTGCACTTTGACAAGTGGAGAAAACTGGTGTACTTCCGTTCCTGCCTCCTCCTGAGTTCTGTGGCCTAGAATGTTGGGCAGGATGGTCTCGGTGTAAGGCAGGCCGTTACAGAGAGGAACAGTGATTGTCTGACATGACGCAGGGGATGTTGGAGCAACAGGGTTGCTCTGACTCTGGGTGAACAGAAACATAAACCAGTAGTTTTAATAAACAATATTCTAGCTTCTTTAGTTTTCATCAACCACAAGTGTACCTAACCCAAAAAACCTCAACCGTGATTTGTTTGTGTTCTAATTGGACAGTGGACCTTGTGGTTGGGCAAAGTGGACCTGTGGTTAGCGTAGATGCCCACTTCAGATGCCTCTGTGCTGTGACCTTCCAACAAAAATGTATCCAAACTGTAAGCCCACATACTGTGGTGGTGGCACTTTAAAGAAATGGTATCGACATTTTAGGTACTCTAATTTGCTTTCTTGCTGCGAGTTAGATATATAGATTGACACTACTCACATAAAATATGAAACTGCAGCCACAAGATGATTAGATGTAGCTTAATATTACGACTAAGAAACAGCTAGCACTTTTAAATCTCATATCTGAATGTTTAATCCTTACAAAATACACAAGGACGACTTCCGAGATGGTTTTGTTTAACCAACCAAATGGCATGCCTGGTTAGTGACTTCCTGCAGCCACTCCATCAAACTTCAAATACATATGGAAGGGCTTTAGTTCTTGAAAACAATTTAAATAAAATTAAACAAAGACATATCACCCTAATTTGTGTGCTTAAGAGGTGCTGGTAGAGAGATTTTGTTGCTTTTGGACAGAGTGAACTATACCATGGCTTTCGATGGAGCTCACTTTTTCTTACAAGGTGCGGTGCTTGACTGATTGACTCACAGGATGCTGACTGCAAAACAGAAATGAATAATGGCGATCCAGTGCGCAGACTGAGTGGGACTAAGAAAGCTTTTTTCTGATCTTACAGTTACAATGAGTGAAATGTATTATATTGTGCCACTACACTTCAATGGTGATTGCAATGCATGCCAGTATTTAGTGAATTAGATCACCCCACTACATAAATCATACATCAATCTTAGCCATTACAACATTATGCATGATCCATGACAATGAAGATAGCCTACAGAAAGATTAAAATGCATGGCCAAAATGTAACGAAATCATGTTTTCAGGGGAGCTCATGTCTTATTAAGAGGAGCCAAGCTCCCTCTGGCTCCCCTGTACTGTAGTATTCATTTTTTCATCTAAATCTCACCATGTATACAATGTATTTCCCAAAATGTCAAACTAGTTACAAGCCACACATTCAATTCTAAACTATCTATAAAATAAATACAAAAGGAATTAAAAAAAGAGAAGATATCCTCTTCATTTCATACTAACCTGCACACAGTTAGACTCTGGTAAAGAGTCACATCGGAGCCTTGTTGGCCAGTACAACCGCCTTGTTTTGAAGACAGACTCGCAGTCTGTCTTGACCTTCTCGCAGAGAGCTTGGCATGGCTTCAGCCGGCTGTCATCCTCCGCAGTACATTCAGGCACAGCAACACGACACATAAGTGTAGCAATGTTTGGTGAACAAGCAGTCTCCACCATCTGACCAATTTGCTGCAGGTTGTAGCCTATAACTCCACTTGGATGGAGGGTCGTGGTGTATCCCAAACCTTGACAAAAGCTGGCCGTTATTGGCTTGCAATTTGCTGTCTCATCTCTCCTGCTATGTGCCTGCTGAAAAGACAGCAGCAAACCTAAAACCACCAAGACCAAATGCTTCATGACTCTCAGTAATCTCACAAACTGCTGTTTAACAGCAGCTTAGCTTTTGGAGGTTTGAGACCAGTGTGTTTCTGCTGCTCTGCTGAGGAGGCGGAGTAGGAGTCCACGAATGGAGTTTCTACAAAACTGGCACTGATTTAGGACCACTGGTAAGGTCACATATCAATAGGATGCTCAACACAAAATGAGAGCCCAACTGGTCCCAGAGCAGCAGCCCTATTCTGAGAAATTCAATCCAAGGGCTCAAGACCTTTGTAATAACCACAACATCTGGTTATGATTGTGTGCATTCTGTGTAACCTGGGGGCTTGTTGCATAAAAGCTGGCACAATAAACCTGTCTTCTGGATGGAAACTATTTCAACATTAGGATCGAGAGAATAAAGTGTTGTGATTTTCAACAACAACTGTGTTTCTAGTTATCTAGCTTGTTGATAAAGACTGGAGTTCCAGAAACACACACCCACCATGTGGCATGATGCTGTTTTACCGTAACGAGGAAGAACAGATGTAGAAACATGGCAGTTCAACATGGTGGTCTTAGTGGAAGAGGATCCACTCTCTCTGTAGATAAAAACGGCTCATTCTAGGGCGATTATACAATAATGAAAACATACCTATGAATATTATATTCCATTGCTGCACATATATCCTCCTAAATATTACACACTGGACCTTTCAATGGCAGTTGGTTCATTGGCAAAAAAAAAGTGTATAAAGTTTATAAAATGTTCTTTACATTTTTTGTTCACATTTTTATGGCCTTGTCCCCTTTATTAGAAAGGACAGCTGAAGATAAAGAAAACAGAGGTAGAGAGAGGGGGGATGACAAGCAGCAAAGAGCCACAGGTCAGATTCAAACCCATGGTTGCTGCAGCAAGGACTCAGCCTTTGTACATGGGGCACCAGCTCTACCAGGTGAGCTATCTGGGTGCCCCATGCTATTTACATTTTTTGTGAAAACCATCTGTACGTATGTTAGATTATAGGTGATGTCTGCTGATCTCCCCTGAGCTGATGCAGACATATAGGCCTCCTGTCTGAACACATGTCACATTCTTATCTGTGTGAAAGAAATGCATGTTGGATATGTAACAAAACTTTTGTGACCCCAGATTGTCCACACATTTTGACAAAGCATTTTCCTGGGTCAACCAAAGGATAACTTAGGTTGTGACTTTATAGCAAAAATGAAGCACACACAAGGATTTTGTATGTCTTTACATTTACATTACATTTTTATACTAGTTTTTTTTTTAATCATCATATAAATGAACATATAACACTGCTAACTATGCAAGTTGTCCTAGTATTACGGTAAAATAATATTAGTACTGTTGATTTTAAGGTTAAGGTTGGAGTTTTATTCAATATTTATACCGTATAATACAATTTTTCACTATTAAAAGAAACAGTCTTGCCATATGAAAATACCATATGAATGCTGTAAGAAAAGTTTTTGCAGGGGTTTTCTGGGCAGTTTACAGTCTGTAATATATATATATAAAAAACTTTATTCTGTATAAATTCCTTTAAAATTGTGTACAAATAAATGTTTTGCCATGAGATATGAGGGTGTGTTACTGTTACAGAAACTGTATTTTAACTACTTAAACCTTACAATCTTTTACTGTAATGGTTTGACAGTTTATAACCATAAAATCAGTGGCATGTAGCAGCTGAAGGAATTCTGAGTCTTTTCCATCAGGAGCACCGGAGAAAATCAGGTGTCGTTGCAGAAAGTCCACTGAGGAAGAAGGTCAGGGAGGATGGACTTTAAAAAAGGAGACTGAAGCTTGTTTCCTTTTTCCAACCAACAGTCTGGTTTCTTTTAACCATGTTACGATTGTTACCTAACCTTAGCCACATGTCTACATTTACCAGACTATAACCAGAGCGTTCTCTCATCCAAAAACAGATCTATTGTTTAACAGTGATTCAAAGGCACAGACAAATGATGTCCTCCTGTCAAAAATGGCATCAAATCAGAAAACTCTTCAATGAGTGCGTTTACATGCACACTAATATGCTGGTTTTTAGTCTTATCCTGTTTTTGCACACATTCTGGATATGGCGTTTACATGGAACTGATTATTCATATCCCCCATTAAGGGTTTCCAGGTTTCTGATGGTGTGTGCAGGTGTGTCTTGATTTCTCACCCTCACAGTTACTTTGTTCTGTAACAGTAAAGAAAACAGATTAAGGTGTTAACGTGCCACAGAATCCTGGATTCTATTGGAGTGCTACAGATACAATAAATTACAATATATGCCTTCATCATCTCATCTCTCATCATCTCCCTGGCAGTGAAAGATGCTTCAGGTTATCTATGATGAGTGATAGAAAACAGATTATTGTCAACATTTTGTATTTAACAGATTAAGACGCTATCTTGTCTTCACCGTCTCACACCATGTCTCCCTGTCTATGAACCGTCTCTCTGTGCCATCCGAGACATTTTGTGACAATTGCATAAATTAATCTGCACTTTTCTTCAAACGGTTTCTGTTAAACAGAACTGGAAGAATGAAAGCAAATGGTGAAAGTAAAAGTCAGTTTGCTGACTGTATCAGATGTGTATTTCCCTTTCCAACTGGCTGGCATTAGTTTATTTTGCCACATGTTTTGAATAATTGTCACAAGCAGCAGCCAACTGTCATGCCTGCTTTGTTCTCCCTGCCATATATTACACTAACTCTCCTGTCATTTCAGATCATATTCTTCTGTCATGCCAAGTAAAAGAGTTTTCAGATACAAGACTAACAAAAAGTCTTTTCAATCAGCTGTTCTAACAAAGCACATCTCCAGCAGAGAAGAGCCTCCTACTCTCCCCCAGAATGATCAGCTGTATTTAAATTATGTTGCAACAATTTGATGAAATGGGAATTTGTTTGGGAATTTCACAATATCAGCTGAAGTACCAGAAGCATTAAAGGTTCAGTGTGTAACATTTAGGAGGATCTGTTAGATGAAATGAAATATATTATTCATAGGTATGTTTTCAGTAGTGTTTGATCACCTGAAAATATAAATCGTTGGGTTTTTGTTACCTTAGAATGAGCCACTGCAGGTTGCCTTTTGAGGAATCCGCTATGTTGAACCGCCATGTTTGTCCCGTTTTTTGTGAGTTTCGCGACCACTGTAGTTTCTCTTACACAGCACAATCCCAGGTTGTCAAATACAGACGAAGTGGTGTTCAGTTAGTTGCAATCTGCAACGTTAACGCTAGAGGCCACAAAATCCTACACACTGGAACTTTTTTAAAGGAATAGTTTGTCATGAGATTCATACCACTCTCATGTCTGTCTGTTAAATATGAAGCCACATGACAGCCAGGAGACAGTGAGCTTAGCTTAGCATAAAGACTGGAAGCAAGGGATAGACAGCTAGCCTGGCCCTGTCCAAAGGTAACAATATGCACCTATCAGTACCTTTAGAGCTCACTAATTAACATGTTTTATATCCTATACTAAAAGAAAATTTCATTTTGTTTTCTGGTGGCCCCTGTGGATTTCCACCGCCTCATTTTATTTATTTCAAGGGGAAACTGCCTGAATCTGACTCGGTGGCAGACATTAAGAATAACTATACATAAATAACCAATCTTCTCGCTGATGGTGTATAAGTCATATAGAGATGTGAGGAAGGTTGCAGTCTCCTCTTCGCTCCAAACAGATCTCATCTCTTCATCTCTTCAGCCTCGTTTAAGTCACATGTATGTATGTATGTATGGCATGATTGATTTGCTAAATCTGTTTCGATTCCACTTTCATTCATTTTAAGAAATGCTTTCCTGTTTCTGCAAAGAAAAACATCTCCTTTGTTCTGAATGTGGTGACACTCACTATTTCATTTCTAGGTTTTATTTTGAATGTTGGTTCACAAACACATATTGTTTTTTTCACATGTGAACTGGATCAACCTCACTAGAAAAACCTTATCTTTAACTCTGTTCTTGTTCTCAACGTCTGCACTACATACCACACAGGCTTAACATGATTCACAAGGTAATGTTCACTTCAATCTTCATATCAGATGTCAAAACCACATTCACAACATGTTTCATGAAGAAGGCCCCCAATAACGGCCGGCAGACCATTTTCTAATTCACAATGAAAATAATTTGTTTTTATACGTTTGTTTATACGAATTGGTAAATGTTCAATAATGTCCTTGGCTGTTACTTGGGAAGATACATATTAGTGTAACCCCTATGAAAGTACA